GGCTCTGAACAGAGACATTATGGGATAAGGGGAGTTTTCCAGGGAATATCAAAGACATTGCACAGAGCTGTTGTAGCTAGCTCATGACTGCCTGTTTTTCCAGTATCTGGATGAAAGATAATTTATGAAAAGCTCAAGTAATATTTCTTCTGGCCTGGCATGAACATGAGGTAGGAGAATCAGGACTTACTGAAGAACTTGTGATGTTTCTCAAAAGCAAAAGATGAAGGTTAGCTCTTTTATTAGCTTTTGCTAAAGCCAAAATATTTATCGAGTTCAGTGAGGCTGTTCGTATAAAGTTTGCTTACATGAGTGAAGGTTACAGAATTTGTATAAAGCCCAAAGACACCGCAGGCTAACAGTGGCAGAAAGAGTTCTTGGGAGCAAAACATTTCCTGTAACTTGTATTTCTTCAGTGTATCAAATTCTTCAGTGTATTATTGCTTAAAACTCCCAATTAGGACTAATCCTTCAGAAAAGCTCAGGCTCCAATAGACATCTGAGATAAGAGACTTATGGAAACACTTAACATCTAGTAACTCCCATTTTTCCCACACAGGAGGGGCCGAGTTTTTAAAAATCTGGCTCTTTAGTAGTCCAATGGGGACTACTGCTGACTGCAGAATTACTTAGAAAAAATTAGCCCTAATAGCCTGTTCGTGTAATTATCTTTTTACAGTTTTAGTAAACAGTAACCAAACATTGATTAAGTAAATGTAACCAGCTTAAACCATTTTATACAACAATGAAGAGTAGGTAATCTAATTGTTTATGTGGGACTTCAAAGCAAATTTTTACTACTTAAAGTATCTTGGGTACACAGGAAATATGAGAAATAAAAGCATAAGAGTGCTCCTGCTTTATGTAACCAGGTAACTCAGATATTCCATATACTTTTGAAATGTTTCCATTACAGTTCATTTTAAAATAATCCAGGAATGTAACTTTCCAAGTTTCTAAACAGTTCATTTTCAGTTCCACATATATATGCCATTCAGATACAGCGCAGACATTTGCAACGTAAATGAGTTATTGTGCATGCATGATTCCTACATCCTGCACCTCATCATTCATGCGGAAGTCCTGAAATGATCTACTTCTCCAGTACACAGCCTTTAGAGAGCAAAACATTCTTCCCCACAATCACTGCAGTTTTGTGTTCCTCCTCTGATGTGTTTACTTTCAAGTTTCTCCCATCCTTGAGTATTCTCTGTGCAGTTATTGTGGATATTCAGAATACGAAACATTGTACTGAATTTTAAAGACAATCCATGGTTGCATTTTATTATGGACTGCACAATATTTTGCATTTGACTTTACTGTCCAAATATAAGTCAATATATTATAAAACGTAGTCAGTAACATCGCAGTAAACTCCTCTCCAAAATGAGTACGTCAGTCACAAAGCCTCTGGCAAAAACCCCAAAGAGTTAAAGACAGCAAAATATCTCCAGGTTTGCAGTTGATAACTAGGCTCTTTTAGGTAGTCAGATACCATCCTGATGCTGCAGGTATCCAGCTCCAAAATGATCTCACGAAACTGCACGGGCAAAAATGTGGTAAAGGAGCTTCAACAAGGTAGATAGATGTGAAGTAATATATCTAGGGAGAATCGAAACCATGCCTACACAACGCTTTCCTGGGTTGTAACTACCAATTGTACGTTAAGCAGCTTTTAAGTTTTTTTTGACAGGCCTCTGAAATCATCAACTCAATCTGCAGTGGCAACCAACCAAACCAACAAAAGTACTCTTTTCAACTGTGTTTAAACTAAATGTCTAGAAATTGTTGCCACAGGAGGTTTTGGAGGCAGACAATACTGGCAGCTAAAAAAAAAAAAAAAGAGCTAAACAAATTAAAGGACAACATGTCCATTCGGGAATACTAAGAGGAGCAGTCAGGGATGTACCCACTAAAATCCCTAACACAACAGTTGTGGATGCTGGGAGAATGAAAGGGGAACAGACTGAGGAAAATGGCCAGGTTTACGTGCTGTCCCCAAACACAACTCCTACAGCTGCTGTTTTGATACGGACCACTGGTCTGACACAGCAGGGCATTTCCCCTTATCTTTTCTTGCCTGTTAAAATACATGCATTTGAAGTGGATTGGAACATAGGAAAACAGGTGAGCAGAAATAGAAGCCGATCTCTCACTGTTGCTTCAGTAAATTCAAAAAAAAAAAAAAGGCAAGACAAATCACGTCTCCCTTCTGGTTCCTTATGCCAACACTAGCACAACCATTCCATCTTCAGACAAAATAATTTCTAGGAGCTGCTATTTCAGTTCCTACCATATATTTGAAGAGAATTTCAAAGCAGAAGGTTTGACAGAACACTGAAACATCTTCGACTATCCCAGTAAACACAGAATAAATCTGAAAGCTCTTCTTTACGCCTTTGCATAGTAAAGCCAAATTAGTACTCTATCAGCAACTGCAGCTTAGTCTGTGGAACTTGATTGTTACATATACATACTATATATATATGTATACTTATATGAATTTTGTTGAGATTAGAATGTATAAATTCTTCTAAAATCCAATGGGCATAGATCAGAGGTGAGTGTACAGGGCAACTCGATGATGTGGGGGAAAAACAGAAACAGGAGAAAGGTAAGAGAGGGAGGAAGTTTAAAAACTATTCATCTTCAGCACTGCATAATTATAGTATCCATTGGCAAATACTGTTAGATGAAGACATTAAATGCTGTAATTGAATTAGATTTTTATTTCTTAAATTCTATCAAAGACGCTTAGAACTTCTGGATGCATGTTTGTCTCAAAATCAACATGAAGAGAAATACCTGCACATGATTTATCGTGTACTGAATTGCTTTGGCTGTCAAAATAATTACCTGACATACCACTCATTTGTATAAACTACTAAACGCTAAATGAAAAAAGAATGAGTGTGAATTCACACATTTCTGTAGAGCTGACAGACGTTTCACTCACAAGAACACGTTTATTCCTAATTTTTTCAAGTCTCAACACTATTTGGTGGAAACATGGTGCATTTTCTGTGTCTTAATGATTCCCCCTTGTTTACGATATACTCTTTTTTTTTTTTTTTCTGTGTGTGAGAGATTACTCCTTTGTGGTAACCATCTTCAATAAATGGAATGCTGATCTTGGTAAAGGCAGAATTTGGAATAATGCCAACATTAAAAACAGTTGATCAAAAACAAGGACGTTGTTATTTCAGTTCCTGAACACTGCAACACGGATCCAATACTGGGCATAGGTACAGCTAAACTACATGTATGATTTTAAATTTAGTTATAACGCCATGTGCTCAGTAAGTTACAACACAAGTAACTTAATGGACAACTGTCTACATCAGCATTCAGGAGAATTCATATTGCTATAGTTTATAAAACATCTTGAAATTTTAAAGCCAACTGTAACTAAAACTAAGTCAGTACATGAAATTTCAGCTCATTGCTATCATAAATAAGAACAGTTTAAATATGCTAAATAGACAAACACCAATTTAAATTATTCCTGTAATATTTCAGATAGATACCTAAATGCCCAAACATTTTGGATCATGCTATGCAAACATAATACAAAGAGGTGACAACACAGGCTGTATTTGCAAATACCTATATTTATCTCATAAAAGCTGCATATTTCTCAAAGTTGAATTATTGTTCTCTATAAACACGTGTTGAGTGGGACAATGGCTGTGTGCTAATATTTAAAGTCTGACAAATTCCCGTGGAAAAAAATAAGTAGGAAAAGTTACTGCCTTGGTACACTTACTATGTAATCCTTAAACTTAAAAGGTAGTACTGTGGGCTTATGCACTGCATCTGCTTGTGCAGAAGACTGTCCCTGCCACTTCCAAGAAAATGAATAGCTCTGAATATTAAAAATCACAGCATTCTTCTACTCTCTCCCCGCCTCCCCAAGGAAGCATAACATTGTTGTCCTATCAAACTGTGAATCTGATAGTTATAGTCTACTGAAATTACCCCAGGTCTAAACTTCACTAGCTCCAATTAAATGTATTTTTTCGAAATATTGGATGCTGCTGCTTTAAAACTATTGACAAATTTCTGCTTCACAGCGTCTGCATTTCCTTGTTGAATGATATGTTTCCATTGTATAACTTGCATTCTAGCCTCGAATACGCTAGAATCCATTTGGATGAAAAGCGCCAAATGAGTAATAGCTATTAAAATTTCCAGACCAAAACAAAAACAAAACCCACATCAAGGCAGAGTTAAGGCTGAAAGGGTATATCAGTTACTTAAGGAATAAAGCATAATGGCATATTGTATAAAGCATGTTATAAATTATCCTAAAAGTAAACATTCCAAAAACCCAGGAAACTCAGGCTTAAGGATAAAAACTTAAAAGAAATCCAAACATATTGAATTATTGAAATGCAGTACGAAGCCCTCCAAAACAAACTTAACTCAGCCCTGCAGCGGCACCATGTTGTAAGCCAACAATTATGATGAATTGATTTTGGTATCTGTGGCCCTAAGTTAGGCTAACTTGTATTGCAGAGATACAGATTTTCTATTTTCTTCCTCGGCATGCAACAAGTGAATATGACAGCTAATAGAAGGGGGGCAGGAAAAAAAAATAATGCTATGTAAACCTACTGTCAGTTTCACAGTTTCACTGTGGAACATGTAAAGATATAAAACGTTCATCCTAATTGTGAAGCTACAAGTAAAATATTGTTGTATCATGCCTGAATGCTCTCGTGCTTGGTTCTCAGTGTGAGAACCAGTCCGCTGGACCACTAAAACTGAATTCGTAACGGCTCCATTAGATTTGAGAACTTCTTAATGGTTAAGATAATGTGATTTCAATTCTTAAAATTAAATGTAGGAATGAAAATCTGAGAAACAAATTTCTTATACTGTGCATAGATTACCTATCTAATCTAACTGACTGAACAGAACTTTTCTATGGAACAGTAAGAAAATGAGTAAGAGAAGACAAACGTTTGCCAAAAAAATTTAACCCCCAAAACACTCACTCATTTTTAAAATTGTTTTATTGCAGACAGATGGTAGAGATAAATATCTAAGAGCAAAAACCAGTAAGTCATATTTATTTTTCTTCTGGAACAATTCTCCAAATTGGTTGTGTTTCATGATAAAGAACAAAAAGTTACACTACATTTCAGACCATTTTGTTCTTTAAAAACTGGTCAAACAGGTGGGAAATATTAAAGTACTACAAATTAAATGAATAATTTTCCACTCCAGCTTCGTTTCCCAAATTGAACAAGTCCAAGCGAAACAAACCATGGCTTTTTCTGCTTTGGAGATGTGTATCAGCTGGTGATGCATTTCAAGCTATATTAATTTGATTAAAAAGTTTATCCTTAATAACCTGAGACATCAATCCGTGTATAGCTTCTATGGTGGTCTTGCAGCTGAAAAACAAGCATAAATTCAATGTTGGCTAAACACTGAACTAAACTGTCATTGCATTTGAAGATATTCAGCTGTTTTGGAAGTGCAGGGTGCCCATAACCCCATGAATCTTCACAACTGTCCAGAAATGAGAAGTCACATACAGCAATTTAGCCATTGTTGCCAATAACTTTTTGTTATTTAAAAACCAAACTGACAAGCATTGTACATACAAAGACCAATTGCAGAAGGCTTCTTTGTCTAAGAGTTTAGGACATCTTACATGAACAACAGAAAGTGAGTTTTGTGGTCATCTGAATAAACGGTTCCAAAAAATTCCTGGGGGAAGAGAGCTCTGAACTTTTTTCAATATTTGAAGGTTCTCACTGTGCTCCACCTTATCTCCTTTGCCCAACATGAGGTAACTAGTGCACGGTAACCACAGCTCCCCTGAGAAACTTACAGATGACATTAAGGGAAGAGTTTATAGACCTAATCAGTTATTAGTCAACATGTGTAATATGTACGTTCAAAAGAACAGCAGAGAAGAATCTGGTTGATCCAGTTTTCATTCGATGTGCCTGGCTTATGGGGATGTAGTGTCAAACTAATACGTAAACATGTCTCAAAACAGAATATACAAATGTGAAAGATAACGAGCCCTGAAGGCACGAACAACAGGGACAAATTACTACTGCACAAATCAAGGATTCCTAAGCAGGGAAGGGAGCCAGCTTGAAGTACAACTTGGCTAATGCAAATGGATTCTTAGGTAACTGCTCTTAGTGACATATATATATATATATACACACATCAGAACAGAAGATGTCATGTAGCCAACTTTAAGTAAGCTTGATACTAATGCCCTTCCCCCCCCCGTAAAACAGGTACATCTAACTAGGACAACTATTCAGCCTTCAGCAAACTCTTAGTAACCTTATTTTTTTCAGGATAATTTAGGAATTGCTGAATCAATTGTTGGCTGCACCAGTCAATGCATTAATGAATTAATGGCTGCACCAGTCTACTATTGGCTGTTCTCTTCTCTTAGGACAGGTTATTACCCCCAAAAAAGTAAGCATCTGTACAAGTGTGTCAGTAGTTCTGTAAGCAAGTATTTCATGGGAGCAGATATAACCACAAATGCACACATGTTTGAAATTTAATCACATTAGAGAAGAGTGCCGCCTCCTTTGTGAGAGCTGGGTGGCCTGCGTGACTTTGGGCATTGGGTACCACTGTTCTAAAAGATTTCAATTCAGCAAGAATTAATTCAGGGACAAACAGTAACCTCTATTACCCAGGAAAGCAGAGCTGATGACAACAACAACCTCTTCCAGTTCTGTAATTTAGAAATTAAATACTAACAGTGACTGAATAAAAACAGAAAAGACAGAGATCTAGAAACACTGCAAGAGACAGTACAATAGGATGACCCGAGAAGCTAAAGATGCTATTTCACGTCTTAGAATAACTGTGAGTATGTGAGAATAACTTGAAATTAAAATGCTGTCAATGATTTGTGACACCAAACAGCGATCAAAACCAAAGGTGAAACCTGTTGGCAACTTGATCCTTCTAGCGTCTTTAAAGCATTGCTATTGTAAACATTTCACCAGCAGAAGGAGCAAAGAGCACTTTTAGGAACTGGGAGGTATCACTTACAAGGATAAGCAATAGTGTTACCTCCACTGCAAGCACTTACTGAAACTAAAGTAGTCTAAATGGGTTTTAACTTCTACAAAACAAACAAAAAAACCCCACAATCCACCCTTCTCCCCCACCCAACTCTATCGTGTTAGTTAACAAATTATAAAAGCTGTTAGCTTCTCAGAATAAGGAAACAAAAGCACAGAACATGCTAGCACAACTTGGATTCTATTTAACAATGACCATATTATACTTGCACGTATTCTTCCACTGCTCACTGAGAAGCAAAAGGCTTGTCCAACACAGAACAGTTTCTGACTCCGGCTCTTTAGATATGTGCTCAAGTGAGTCATACTGAGCAAGAACTTCCTACATTTGCCTAACGTGTCTGTAAAGTCACTTGTTTAAAAATGAATCTTTTCCACACAAGATGTCTTTTAACTTCTGCCTTCATTTACAGATCATTAAACTCACCACTCATCCAGTACCTCAAAAATCACAACTTAAGTCATTACCAACATGAGATAAAAATTGAATGAATACAAGAGATCTGTTCTACTTATCAGGATAAAAGGATGAAGAAGAGGGCCAGAAATCTCCAAATCTGAAAAGCAGAACATTTCTGATCTTACTGAACTTTTGCAGTCGGCTCCAACTGATTTTACAGAACAGTTCCTTATTGAACAGAATTATATCTCATTCTGAACATTCCTAAAATGCATGCAGGTGAGTCTTGTGTAGTCCTGTCTTCTCCACAGGTGGACCTGAGATTGCACTAGCATGTATTTTAGTGCAGTACTTCCTAGTCTTCAGAGTCTGGAATTTGCCAAATCAGTGTTAAGCCCAAGATACTGTGTGACTTCTACTGGACAACCACCCTTTGTTAAAAAGATACTACTTGGAAAAATAGTGATTATATTGACCTTCTAACCAGACAGATCAGTCTTAAAACTATTTATTGGGAGAGTGATGTGAAAATTAGGGAAAAGCAACCTATGTTCACTTTTATATTTCAAAGTGAAAAAAAAAAGCTAACTATCAGCAAATATATAAAGAACACTAAGGGGATACTCTATGACTTTTTTGAAATAATGCTCTATACCCAGTGACAGTAAAGTTCGTTAACTGATAACAGCAACTATTTGCAGACAGGGTAGCTAAATACAAAGGCCAGAATTCTTGCAACAGGCAGCCTAAAAAAATGTTTCCTCTTTTGTAGGGCAAAGGATGTATTAAGAAATATGAAAAAGGGCGTTCTTAATTTTTAAATGAATGAAAGTATTACTCAAATGCAAATTAAACTGATCAGACTGTCAGGACTAGGGTTTAACACATAATTTTAAGAACTAATTTAATTTACAGTTATTCTAAACCTGATTAACCACATACAAATGTGCTGTTTTCTAGCAAGGCTACCATTTTGCATTTGACAAAAAACATTTTTTGTTTGCTTTATACTGGTGGAACTTAACAGGGATTTTTAGTTTAATAAATCAACTCTAGTTCGTCGTTTATTCTGGAAAATAAATAGTGAAATGTCCTTGCAGGGTTAATATATGCAAGATTTTCTTAATTTCTCAAAAGTAACAGATGATGTGTTTTACTTCGAGTGCCTTGTTTCCACCTACAATCTTGGTAGGTTAAAATTGGTAGATTACAATTACAGCCTTGAAAATAAGAGTTTAAAATCAAAATGATAATACTTTTTACCATGAAGAACACAGGGGTGCATTATCTTACCTATCTCTTGTTGCTTTAGCAAGTTTGTCTTCCGATTTCTTATCGTGAGTCTCTAAACCCAACATGAAACTGCCCCGTCCAAGCTGAGCTTCTGACTGTTCTAATTTTTCAGACAAATCAAAGACTTGGCCGGTGGTGTAGTCAGCATTCTTACAAGAAAACAAGCAATAAACATATTGAATTCTAAGCTATAAATCCATATTATTATGTGTATACAAAAGAAGCAAGTAACATCTGAAAACAGCCTGAAAAGTCTGTAATACTGCAGATTTTTACAGTTTAAGTACTACTGAACATGAGAGTGGTAATTAAGCCTAATTCATTTCTCTGAATGCCTGGGAACAGAATTTGAACAGCTACGAAATACTCAATAGTTAAATCATGACATAGGTGCTCTTCATTACTTTCTACCCAACCCCTAAGCAATGCAATAAGATAGAATAAGTGAAATCCAGTAGTTTTCAACTAAGAGAAATGGTACAAAATTGACTTCTGCAGAGGGAAGTTTTTGATGCTTAGTTGTTACTTTGAAGGTCTACCTGTATTATTTCTGTTGCAACTTCATTTCAACAGTTCCAGTTGTTAGATATTAAAAAAAAAAAAAAGAGATAGCAATTGTTTACTTATTCAATGCTATTATTTTAAGCCATACTATTCATTACAGTGTTGTAAAAGGATACAAGGTTAAAAGGCGTTTAAGAAAAACACAAAATTATACAGAACTCAGCAAAATTATACATAACAAGTCACCCCAACCTTCTATTTTTAAGGGGCAGACATAAGGAACATTTAAGTATTTCTGGTTAGGAGCACAGTCCTTCATTGTTCAAATCTGACATGTAGAACCTTAATGTGGGATCTAAATTACCTATTCATGTCCTATTAAGCATTTTACAGTAGAGGGTCTGGCTTCTAGCACAGGTGAATTAAACATGCACTTGATAGCATACTGTGGTACTTACAGTAAGTAAACTAGAAGAACTCAGAGTGTTCACCCAGTATTTGTTCCACAAAAGCTCAAGCAATTTACGATCCAAAGAGGATTTGAAGTAAGAGACTTCTAAAGCATAATACCTTTAAAAGCAAACATGCAAACAAAGTAAGCTTCCAATTAAATACATCTTGTTTGGATGGGAGCTAAACACCCAAATTAGATGCATCTGAAAAAATCCTTATCTTTAAAAATAAAGAAAGGAAATATCTTTAAAAACTCAAAGCACAGAACAAGAAAATTACCATCAGTTTCAGTTCTTACTCTAAAATCTTTTCCGTATTTAAAACATAGCTTTAATATAAGTTTAAGTAAGCCCCTCTTCCTTTACTGCTGTACTCTACTTAAGAGACTGATAGTGCATTTATTATTTTCTTAACCTCTTGTACAATGCAATGATGCCCTGCTCCGCGGTTGAGATCGTTAGTACTGTAATAGTTGGTACTTTTATTTACAAAATTACGATCATCTATCACCTCTGATTAAATTTAGAATGTTTGATAATGGTAAATGTTCAAAATGGCAAAATAATCTTACGTTTTACCACACCTTTTGAAAGCCAGTTTTACAGGTGTTATAGAATTCACAAAAGATGACAAAGCAGACAGAAGGCTGAACTACACAAAGTGATCAGCGGAGGTGAATTACAGTGACAATAATTAAAGAACCATGTGACGTGTAATTTTGGTTAGGAAATTCTTCAGCAGTGTCTCAGTAATTAATCCTATTATCTCTTCATTTCTCTGGAAAGTTATTGTATTTGGAATTTCTACACTAAATTCCGCCCGAGATTAACAAAATGCTTTAAAATCTACCAGCATATCACATTTCAGTATTTCTGTGATAGAACAAAATAAGAGTACTTCATCTGCTAAGAAAAATGAGATACTAAGTCAGGTACTCTTCAGAGAAATGTGTGGCAGATTCAAAATTAGAAATCCAGGTTACTTGAGAGACAATACAATGGACTTACTCAAATAGATTAAACCAAAGCAATGTCCATTTAAATACAAATGGAGAAAAGCTATGTGTGTATACAAGTCAATGATTAGAACCCGGATAAAATTCAAAGACTAAGAAACATGATAAAGCTCCATTCTGAAAGCACTGGAAAATCTTAAGAGAGCTGAAGGATTAGATTTAGGATCTAGGATTTAGATCAAGATTTAGCCTTAACTTAGCAGTTTTGCATTAGGCATTGAACACCAATTGAAAGAGAGAAGTTTGACTAAGATTACCCAAACTGTTATTATGAAGCAATTAGTAGTGGCTGGCATCGCCTGACAAACAGGATCACCATTCAAGTAAAGAAATAGAGCCACAAGCCCCTAAAATTTAAATTCTAAGCCAGATCACCATACTAGTGAAAGGACACCACCACTCTACTCTTTTGCACTACCAGTAATTCTTTAACTTGACAAAATTCCGGTTCTACTTCCATCTCTTTTCCTAACTGCTTTATTTTCTAGAAAAGACAGGACAATATTTTCTATAAAGTTTAGATGAAAAGAAGTGACTTGTAACAGAAGTCAGCTTATGGAAGCCAGCTTACTGAGATGGACATCATGATGGTAATTATTAAGCACTTCTGACCAAAGGGGGGAAAAAAAAAACAACCCATAAATGAACTCTCCCAAACTGACCACTTCTTGAAAAGAAAAGAAAGAAAAGGTAAAAAGTGTCCTCCTCCGATGCATGTAAGTGTGGGTTTAGGCGCAATGCCAGATGTACAACGAATACTCTGAAATGACAGGAACATTAAAGTTCCACAAGGATTTCTGTCCAGCTACTGTCCTGGATTTTTCTCAAATTGGTTTGGAAAATCAATTCCCAATTGAAAATTTTAATTTCTTCATCTCTTCAGGGTCAGACTTTGCATACAACTGTACTTGCACTGAAGAGCAGTTCTCCAAGCACCGAAAACATGAAAACACTAGGTACAGAAGTACTATTAAAGAATATATTAGGTACAGCCTACATGATACACTGGCATCCACGAGATCTTCAAGCATTATTCTGCATACAGATGCTTAAGCTGTAGCGTTTGTCAAGTATCTGAAGGTAGACCTGAAACCAGGCTCTGTTACTGAAAGAAGCAGTCCCACTTTTCCTTGGCTGCCCTTTCAAACACTGTGTCTCCACCATCTGTCCCTGCTTTCCACCCCACCTTAGCTGCACCAGCAAGAATATGTGTGCTGTCATAAGGCTGACCAGCAGAGAAAAAGCCGTAATTCTTCCCATTGCTGATGTTATCCATGAAGCAGCTCCTCTTTCCAATCCCATCAAAGATGGAAAGAATCTTAATAGCATGGAAAAACTGCACAGTCACACGACTGTGATGCAGGAAAAACGAAATGCACTGCACTTGCTACTGCTCAGAAAAGCAACCAGATTTCAGTCTCCCCAGCCCTGCTGCTATATCTGCATCTGACCCTTTCCTCTCTGCACTAAGAAAGCGCCACTACTTAAAGGTGTTCAAAAACTAACTGCTGAAGCTTCTAGCCACGTTCACCTTCATCATTAAAGCAGTTGTCCCTTAAAACACTTCCTGATAAATAACAGTTAAGTAACGCTTTTCTGCAAAACCAAGTGCTAAGGCAACAAAGAACTTTAGGATTTGAGACACTCCAAGAAATACACTCTGTCATGCTGAAACACTACGCTAAACACAAAAATTGAGAACTCGCGCTAAAGATAGTACTTTTTAAGTTACTTACTGTTTACAGTGTACACCAAAGTCTTCTATTTTATTAAGCGGAATAGTCTGGTATTCAGATGGACCTTCATCTGGAGGCTTATAGCCCTAAAAAATTAAACAAAGAGCAAAAATAACAGAGTAAGTTTGGGATTTTTTTAATGTCTAAGTTGTTTGAAAGCTCTTCACAAAACTTCTCAAGATAACTATTTTCTAAAGGAAAAAGTAGCTGGAATTCAGAATTTTCTTGGATCTCAGATTTAAATTTGGCTTTACTAACAGTCATTACATATCCAGATCTATTAAAAAGCATGTTGGAAGCAAACTGGCGGTCACAGTTCAGCTTTTTTAAAAAGGTAAAATGTTTTCAAGTTATCATTAGATCAAGGAATGAAAGAGCATAGAGCTAAGACTATCCATCCTTCGAAGCGATTTCAGTCCTCTTCTGGGGGAAGACAGAAAGCATGAGAAGAGACAGGAAATACACACGCCTTAGAATATGCCCTGTGAATATCTTCAGATACTTTGGTCATTAGTTTAGCCAAGACGGTGCTCCTCACAGCTAATGAGTTGGCAAGAATGCCCACAAACCACTGCAAGGACTCCCTAAAAACATCCTAATGTGCATGTTCTAAGAAGAGTTTGCTTTTGCAGCTCAGGATTCTTCTCCCTGACCAAAATTCTGAAAGTATTTATAAGGTGGTTTTGCCCAGAGCAGTGAACATTCCTTTGAATCGGAAAGTGTTTTAAGAAGATCTCTTGTGTATTTGCAACACAAAAATAATGCTTGAACGCATTTGGGAACCTCTCACACATGTTTTTGTTAATTACAGTTTTATTTGGCTGTCAGACTGAAGTTCTTGAGGAGTCAAGAACTGGAAGCCTGAAGGATACACCTGAACTTTATTAGAACAAAATTAAATGACATATTTATATTTCTGTCAGAAATATAAATGTAAGACCGCGTTTGGATATTTGCACAATTTCCTCGTTTTCAGCCTAACTCTTCCATATTGTTTAATTCTATATTTTTATTTTTGTATGTTATTTATTCAAAAAATTCACATTATTTACTTGAAAGAGTTAAGTAGGAAATTTTGAATCTTGCCTTTCTCTAGTGAAAAGCAGATTATAACATATAAAACATATAATTGAACTTAGTATTAGGTCTAAAAAACAATAGAAGAATTAACATTAACCTGTTTTCACGAATGTCAAGTAGAACTATATCTGTTAAAAGCTGCTATATCAATCTCCTATAATTTTAGGATAGCTCCAATATCTAGACAGTCTATGTGATTTAATACTGCCAAAAATCTAGGCAAAAAAAAAGCAGTCCACTTTTCTAAATGTAATCAATATGCAAAGACACAAAATAATCTGTACGTCAGCATGTTTTTCTTTTACTATGAATAATGACATACAGTATAGCAAAGCAGGTCAAACTGTCCAATGATCCAACTGCAGTAATCTCTGGAGATGGGAACTAATCAATCACTTAGTTAAAGAAAGTTTAGTGGTCTTGCCCTAGATAATTTTAACTAGTTAAGTATTTACCTTAGGATATGTCCTAAATGCTCCAAGATTTACTTTTCCAGCAGATATTGTTCTTGTAGGATCAATCTGTAGAAATACAGAGAATGTTTTTTTTTATATACGTATTTGGTGAATTATTACAGGAATAAGTTAGCTTTACAGTAATTGTATTTCAGAAACATAATCAGTGCACAGTGTATTATTCTTGCCATAAACACTACTTTTTCAGTTGGCATCTGAGTAAAAAGATGGGAATATTAGAGTTTTCTATGGACCATTCTTCAAACTCGTTTCCCCTGTTTCCCAAATACTTTAAGAAATTGCACTCAGAGCAATCAACAAACTGTAATAAAAAATTTGCACTTTTCTCATCTCCAGGGGTTATGAGATAAGTGTGCAATCTGCTGTATTTGATAGTAGAGACAGGAAACTAACGTAGGACTCTCCTTGATAACACATTTACTAGCAGATTGTTTAGTTTTAAATGTAACAAACTAACAACAAAAACACCCAAGGAAAGTGTTCTGAATCCATGAAATTACATCATAACATAGGAGAACTCACATAGCAAAAATACTTCCTAAGACTGATTTACCCTTCTCTAACGTAATTTTATGATCAGAGTTATACTCCTTTACTCTGTCTCTTTGATTAATCTACTTCTAGCACATTAATCTCTTTGTTTTAAAATATGATCTGAAGCCTGGAAGACATGGAAAGGCCCAACGAGTTTTTCAGAAGATTTCTTCTTCAAAGATACCTTTCCTAACATCTACTCATCCAATGCAATGATTTCATTTTGAAGGCATTTTAATTTGGCTTGGTTCTATTATACAGAAAAGACAACTAGCAGAATAAAAAACCCAGAATTTTTCATCTATTCCAGAAGGCTGAATCTCGATTGTTCAGTAAATTTTTTTGAAAAATTATCAAGCAGAACTTAAAGAGCAGCATATAAATTTCAGCAGAACTACAACATCTTGACTGATGCAGCAAAGCTGGCCTCAGTGAACAAATGCTACTGTTCTGACCAGCGTATGGCCAGAAAAGCAAAATGGGTGATACCAGTTTAAGATTGGGATCTTTTCTGCATCATTCTTCCATCATGCAGAATACACGCTCTGAAAACATTAACCACCAGAAATCTGAAAATAATTCCCTCGTCAACATAATTTGCTACCCAGTTTTACCGTGCTTATTGAATGGTTAAATTAACTATCAGCCAGTACTTACAACGACTGCTACAAAGGGTTCTTGAAACTGCTGATTAAGCATCTGAGTACTGACATCGATCCCAGAGAGCCAGCAGCCATAGCCAGGGTGACTGTGATACCAGCCAATGGCATTTTCTAGACGGCCAACCTAACAGGAGTGAAGGAAAAGAAATCCATAGTGTGAAATGCTTCCATCCTGTAAGTAACAGCTGCCCTCTATTGGGCCTCCCAGCAAAATACAACATGGCAAGAGGATAAAAAAGAATACATAAATAGCCTAAGTATTAAATGCACAACTTAGGCTGCAAAATTATTTTCTACAAACCACGTAATCTGTATTAGCATTCTGTGTTATAGCTACTACCACAAAACAAAGAAAACCAACTCCAAGGAGCCAGTAACTCTTTTTCTAATGATAACTGAAGTACAGAACAGATCCCTCATGGTGAGATGAGAGGCAAGCTGAGACTCTTCATCATGGAAAAAAAATTTCATTGGGAGGACGTGACACAAGTATAAAAATCTCATATCTCATAGCGTATGTCAGTAGAGAATGAAAGTTTATTATTTACCACAGTAACACACCTCAGAGGCATACTGCGAGCTCATTCGTAGTTTTAAAAATAATAAATTGAAAAATACATACTTCCAAACACCAATACGACAGCATTCATTGCAAAACAATGGTATGAAGGCCAAACGTTAGATTTGATAGATTTGGGGGGACTGGAAAAATTATCAGCATAAGTTTCCAAATAATGCCGTGGCTACATCTACAAATTCTAGAAGCAAAAAACCAAACCAAAACCAAAAAAACCCCCACAGAATGAAATCCTGCTGCACCTTTTTATTCTGTTCCTCGTTCAAAAATCTCTTAGTGACTGCTGAATACTGGGTCAAATGAACTTTTGACATGACCTCATGTATCTATTTTAAAAAAAAATCTTTAAACATATCAACCTCTGAAATACGTTTACTCTTTGCTTACATTACGATCCAATCTAACTCACACTTATTTTAAAATCTTTAATTGTATATAAAGTACGAACAGAAGTACAACACTCTAAAATAACCCAAATACTATCCTCTTGTCTTCAGAGAACAGGGAAGACACCTCTAATTTTTACAGAGTTAGAATACTTTGGAATTAAAGAAAAACCAAATGGTGAACCGGGTCTACAACTATTTGGACAGTTAGAATAATTTATGGGATTCACAGTTAGCTTATTCATAGGACAGGAATG